TACAGCCATTTCACAAACAATTCTGCCTCCGATAGAAAATACCTTATTGTTTGCACCCAACTCAGTATCAGGTCTTGGCCAAACAACATTCGCAGCCTGGATTCTTGTGCTCCATGTTTCTTCCTAGGGTAAATAATGAATTGGTGGCTTAATCTTTATCTCCGATTCCAATTTTTATTTACTTTATTTCTACAACGCACTGGACATCGAGCTCCATATTTGCCTTGTAGCTCACACAAACCAGCCCATCCCATTTACTGCACACTGGGCCAAGGGCTCAGTCCCATCTCACTTGCAAATGTCGCCAGAGCTGGAGGAGGATCAGGAAATATATTACATTTCCTACATTTAAATGCAAAACTCAGCAAAATTATCTAATTCTAAAGCTGCAGTATTAAAAAAAAATTAAATTGTTCTCATTCTTTGGTTTCTATCCTGCATTTCTGCTCCTAGTGTTGCACCTTGGCTATTGTTTCTGTAGCAACAAACCCAGATGGAAACAAAGAGCCAAGGAAACAAGATTCTACAAGCTCTGATTATTTAGACTTGGATAGATTTCCTGGTGGCCTCCTATCTAAGTACTAAACAGATCTGATCTTAAATTTTTGAGATCAGCCAAGGTAGCTAGGCTTATCCACAGATAATCTTTTGCTTATTACAGATGCCTTGTCATGGCTCTTTGAGAACAGGGTTGTAAAGTGTCAGCTGGAACTTGTCCAGATGTTTTAAAGCATTTGATATAAACTGCATGAAATTACAACATTGACACCCAATGCAAACCCACTGTTTTCCATTTTTGTTCAGGCTGTGAAGGCCATCCCGCCCCTGATTTCTATGGGGTGATTGATTAAACCAGCTTGCAGAAGCAAGTATGGTAAAAAATGAAATGTCCCGATCTTGAAAAATGTACAGCTGTTGTCTTGACATGCCACCTGGTTGGACTGCTTTCTCCTTTACTTTTGCCTAAGGAGCAGTGGGCAAATGTCATGGTCATCCACTCAAAAGCAAGTTGAGCAACAGCCATTAAAAACTTTGCTGTATTTATAAATGGGGGCTCGCACCTGTGGAGATGGCTGGTGGGGTGATGCGTTCTGGCTCCCTCCCCCCAGCAACTTGAAGGTGTCAGTGCTAAAATATACAGGGGGGGTTTAGGACATTTTTAATGTATGTTTGTATTTTAATTATTTATGGATTTTAGCCACTGTTGGAGGGATTGGTGTGTTTGTTCTTTTTTGTTATTGTGAGCTGCCCAGAGTGGGGGAGATGGGCGGCATACAAGTTTAATTAATAAATAAATAAATAAATAAATAAATAAATAAAGGCAGTCTCTTGTGCTGACAGTGCCTATAGTCAGAACTGGAAAAGAAGAAAAGTTTGGCGTTCACCTTTGAACCATGTACCTAAATCCTTAACAGACATTGACTAAAAACACAACCTGTTTGTCTTCTTTTTTTTAATGCTGCCATCTTGAGGATGAACTGGGCAACGGCTTTGAATGAGGACCAACACAATGCAAACAGAATAGAGGTTAGGAGCGCACAGGGCTAATTAACTTTCTACCTCACTACGCAATGCCTCTAAGGAGCTGTAGGTACCATATACGGGCAAAAACAATGGATCTGACTAATGGAGGAAGAGATTGGGCGCTATAAACTATAGCACCCAATCATGAAAAAGGAGTTTGGTAGCATCTTTTCAGACCAACAGAGTTCATGAAAGTTTCAGCTATTTAATAGAATTTGTTCATCGGAAAAGGCACTACCAAACTTTTTATGATCCTTGGGATTTGGGTAAGTTAATGCAAGGAGCTTCGGGCCCGAAGAGAGATGTAAAAATGGGCTTCTTGTATCCCAACAGATCATTCCAACTTTTGTATTGTTTGAGAAGGCATTTTAATCATACAAGCCAAAAGTGGAACAGTGAGTCCTTCAGGTGGGGGACTTCCTGTTCAAAGCTCTCCCATGTATAACAGCTAGTTTGGCACACACACACACACACACACACACACACACACTAAGTAACAGTACAACAAAAGCTTTGCTGGCTTTTAAGAGGGCTGGAGTGCTTACAAATACAGTATTGCAAATTATCAAATGTACAAAATGGGGGAGTCAGAAATCAATAATTCTATTATTATTATTATTATTATTATTATTATTATTATTATTATTCCTTTTTCCTACTTTTTCCTTAATTTTTGTTAAATTTGCCTTGTCTGTCTTATATATTCCTTATATCTACACACACACACCCACTAAGTAACAGTACAATGGAGATCTTAATATTAAGCTACAAGACCGAAACTATTGTTGTCCTTTTGTGAGATGGGTGGCCATATAAATACGATGGATAAACATGATGAATAAATAAATATAAGTAATACTTTGATGTGAATTGCAGTGGTTCTTTTTTTTTTTTAAATGTTATACTTAACTTAAAAAGTCAAATAATCTTATGTTTGTAATGCTGACATCCTCAATTGCAATTAGTACTAATAGAATCTTTACTTTTTTTTTTCTTTTCAATAGTTTAAGCTTTCTAAAGAACAGAATGTTTAAAATTTTTAATTATATTATATAAAAATTACTGCACTGAAATCTGCATTGAAATAATATAATGTATCAAGATTTATAACCTAACAATAAAGGGGGGGGGAATAAAAGTTCATTTAAAAAAAAAGCTTGCTTTTCAACCAGAGCTGGACTATAGCCATTTATATCCTGAGTGTGTGAATACTTTGTAATTATTTTTTGGCCCTGTTGATTCATATGTTATAAAAGATGACTTTTGTTGACAACATGAGCTTGTTCTTCAACTCAGAAGTCTGCAGCTGGTTTTTAATGCTCAGAAATAATATCTTTTGAGCAAGTTGCAAATGTGGTGTGGGTGATTTCTTACCGCTACCAAAGGAACACTTTGCATCTGAACTTAGAGGATTCAGACTTGTTTACTCGCTTCTCAGTAAAGTCAGGAGTCAGAAAAGAGATTTATTTTTGCACTGAAGACTTGGCCAAGCTGTTCATCCCATTTCTATTTGTATTATTGTCACTTCAGTTGGCAGTCATCCTGATCATACCCTGGCCCCCAGGGAGTATTTTCAAACATATTTTTACTAACCTTTCTAACTTTTTTTTCAGTCTGAGGCTGTAATTGGACTCTAAATGGCATTCAGAAGTTTACACTTCATAAATAAATAAGTGGGACTAGAGGAGGGGGCGGGAAACCTAATATTAATTAAAATTAAACTAAATTATTAAATATAGTATATATGGTTTCACAAGACTTTTTTTTTTTTTGCTGAACATTTCAACAGCAACTTCTGGAAGGAACTTTGGCAACTTTAGACAGCCCCAGGGATCCAAACTGGACATTCCTATTTTAAGCAGGATTTATCTTGGGTAATTGCTGGATAGGAGACCACCAGGAAATTCTGGGGCTGTAGGGTAGAAAAGAATCTTGGAAGGTTATGTGGAACCCCTTCCATATTGTTGCTCAAAAAAGGACACGAATGAAGTTGCTAGAAGTCGCTAAAATTATTGGATAATTTGGATGCAACAACAGTATCTTCAGTTCTGGGGCAATACAATACTGGGATTCGCAGGGACAAATTTCTGTAGGTGGCTGCACACTTCTATATATGTATATATGTGTGTACAAAAAAAAGAGGGGGGGCTGAGAGAGAGTGACTGGCCTAAGGTCACCCAGCTGGCTTTGTGCCTAAGGCAGGGTTAGAATTCACAGCCCCTGGTTTCTAGTCTGGTGCCTTAACCACTACACCAAACTGGCTCTCAATAACAACTATATTAATATTGTGCCCCCCAGGATATTACAACAGCTATTTTCAACCTTCTAGACTACCATTCTGCAGAAATGGCATTTAACACTGGAAAATCAATACACCAGACTATTTTAGGATTGTAGAGATAGTTGGCTTCCATAAAATGTTAAGGACTACCTTCCCATAGGCAGAGTGGGAATGTGCTTGGTTCATTTGGTGAAACAGCATCATCTAGTGAGACCCAGGAGGTGTGCTTCTCTGTCATGGTGCCTGCCCTATGGAACAGCCTCCCCTTGAGTTTCAGATGACCCTGACCTTGGTAGCCTTCTCTAAGACCTTGAAGACCTGGTGCTTCCCCCAGGCATTGGGGCCAGGATGTTGGCTGAGCCTGTTTTATGATGGGTTATGGGGGAATTTTGCTTGCAGCCTTAGTAGTACCGTACTGTATTGCATTATAATGTTTATTCTATTTTGCTCTATTTTATGTTTTCTATATAGTTAGCCTCCCAGAGTCATTAGGTTGAGATGGGTGGTCTTATCAATTCTATAAAGGAAGGAAGGAAGGAAGGAAGGAAGGAAGGAAGGAAGGAAGGAAGGAAGGAAGGGCTGGCAACCATGTTGCCTGCTACTGGACTTGAAACAAGTTGTGGGTCAGCTTAGACCACAAGTGGGATGTTCCTCTCTCTTTTGGGCACAGGAATCTCTCTTCCCACCCCTCTCCTCAAGATCACTGTTTCCCTCTTTCTTTCTTGGTATATAGCAAGCTGCTGAGAATGGGGTGATTTTGCATTGCCTGCTTGCTAAAGGCTTTTGAACTTAAGCTGAGGGTCGTATGACATTTAGCCAATGGCTGAATTTGACTTCAGGACTCCAGATTGCCAGCCTCCTGTTATAAAAGCAGCCATCCCAAGGGCACATTTACCAGTGGGGATTTCTTCCAAAGCTGCAAGTTAGCCTTGGGCTAACAACCCTGATATGCTGAATTGGCCAAACCTGACAGGAAATGCAGGTCAGAAGGGAGGCGTCAGGCATTCTGAGAACAAGAGGGTGCTTTATGATGAAGCCGGTTTAGACATTTTGCTCATTTCATAAACAAGAAGTACAGCCAATTTTGCACTGCACTTTTATAAAGGTGGCCACAGGCAGTTCTATTGGGATGTGAAATCTCTGAATTGCGAACGGGTTGTTCTTGAAGATACTTGATCACCATCTGAAAAGAGACATGAAACCAGGAGGATGTCTGATTTTCCTCTTCATAATCATAATTTTGCTGGATCAGGTGTCTGGCCAAGCTTCCCCCTTTAAGGCAAAGAAGCACACCAAGCGAAGAGTAAAAGGTAAGTAATGGAGCCATCAAGAAGGAAAATATGGGGCTATCAAGAGTGAAGATATTTAATATACTATTCTACTGCTTTCACTGCAATATATCTACTGCAGATCTTTATTCTGGAGTATATTAGTGAATTTGATTTGAATAACTCTACTTATCTGTGTATGAATAATATACTGCCACCTTCCTTTTCATTTTGGTAAACAAACTGACCTATGTAAGCCTTCTAAGCCCAGATTCAGTCTCACTTGGCTTCGTTCCTGTGACATTTGATTGGTTTAAATCATCTTCCTGCAACCTGGTACCTTACCTCCTGGATAAAGTTAATCCCAGAAATAAAAATCAAAGAGCTCTGAGTAATTATATTTATAAGGACAATTAAAATTACAACAGAAGAATTCCAGCAAGTCTTTAACCTTTGAAATGAGACATTGATATATAGGCAATCTTTGGTAGCAAAACTCTTGTCTGGTTCCTCGTATTAGTTCAGCATAGAAGGGAGGAGATGTGCCTGTTTGGTGAAGGTGAGGCAGTCTGCATCTGTTCCTTGTTTTGGTTATGACTATTTCTTTTATTAGTGTAAGAAAGAACTCTCACACCTATACAAGTGTAACAGTTATTGCTTATACTGGTAAAGGGAATAGACAGCTCCCACCCCTTCAATTAAAAATTGGCAAACCTTCCCAATCATCATTACAAAATGGGGAAATAGCCAGGTTTCTACTGGGCTCCCCATCAGGTTCTCCAACAATTGTGGTACTGTGGGAACTAATACTATGTAGATTTACTCAACTAACCCAATATGGTTGAGCTCATTATGCAATCCTATGCATTTCCTTTTAGAAGTTAAGTTTAATTGAGTTGATTGAAGCGTAGTCCCGGGTAAATATATATAGGTTGATTGCTTCAGGTATGTATAGGACTGAAATGGGACGTACTGAAAATGTATAAGAGTATACATATGTATAAAATGTATAAAAAAGAAATGGGCAATAAAGTAGTACAGTTCTTTGGATTGATTCTAAAAAGGGGCTTAAGGGCATGAGGGACATAAACATAGCGTCAGTCTGCCACTTTTAAAAAGCTTTTTCTAGGATTACGTGACTATGATTTCTACCCTTACACAGAATGAAGAAGATTAAAAGTATATTCATAACTGTGCCTAGAAAAAAAACAATATGGCTGGATACCAATAATGTCAATATTTTCAGTGTTAATAAACATACTAATTTGTAAATTTCTACCTATTTAAGAGAAAAATGGTGACCTTAAGAGTCAAATTAACAAGCTTTGGAAAGAGGTAAATTCCCTGAAAGAAATGCAAGCCTTACAAACCGGTAAGTTCTGATGTTGTTTTCTTTTACTTTCAGAAAAGGCTGCTAGAAGTGTCTGTAAAGCAAAACCATGCCTCTTCTCTTATTCAGTTCAGAGGATTTATTTTCAAAAGCTTTAGTTCCACCCTACTACCAGTCTAAAGTATCAGTGATGCCAATAGGTCTGGATTAATGGCTGAAGGGCCCCTCAAAGCCAACAAGAGCAGATGCCACAAACATAACGCCTCTTCCCCCACCCATCATTTGCTAATTTCCTGCTCACAGACCTCTCTTGCCAGGCAGCCAGAGAAATAATGTGCTGAGGCATTTTGTTCAAGTTCCCCTCAATTCTGGCTGTACCCCATCTGTGTTGTGGTAGATAGTTAAAGATAAATTGAAGCAAGGACCAACTTCATTGGGCAGAGAGAGGTAAAATTGACTTCTGGCAATGTGATGGAATGGAATTATGAAGGCCAGGCTCAGGGAGATAAACATTTTCTTAGCTCTCCAGAGGAGCATGGGAGATACAAGAGGATGAGACTGGCATCTCCCTGAGGAATTCACACTGTTGTGGCTGGATGGCTTGGGAGCTGGAGTTTCAGTCTGGGAAGATTCTTGCTAGAGGTTGTAGGTAATAAACAAAGCTGAACTGGATTTGCATTGTCTCTTGGAGTTCCTTGGGCTAGGCCTGACAGGCAACATAGGTAGTCCTTGATTAACCACCACAATTGGGACCAGCAACTCGGTCGCTAAGCCTCATTCTTCTACTCTCTTCTGGGCCAAAAAAACCCCCAGCTCAATGGGAATGGCAAGACTGGCTGCTTACTGTGATGGGAGACAGATCCCCCCCCCTTCTGCATTTGAAACCTTTCAAATCCATATCTTTCAATGGGAGAGCTTAACATGTTTTTAATCTGCTTCCTTCATGTCATCATTTTTAGCTTCCTTCTCCTTTGTCTATTTTCCAGTTGTCAAATGGCCTTAATGAGAGTTTTAATATGGGGAAGGGGAGGAGAATATGACAAATACGATCTCATTTCCTGTTGCACTAAATGCTATTCATACTGCAGGGTGCTCAAAGGTGATTTAAAATTATCCCTTAAGAATTCCTAGCCTGGGTTTTATTTGCTAAGCACTGAGTTGACCTCATGCATGGCTAACTTTACTTTGGCAGTTTGCAAAACTCAGTCATAAAGGAGGCTACAGATCTCTGCCTTCCATGAACAGCCAAGGAGACTCCTATTTCCTGCTAATTTGGCCCACTCTGATGTCAACATAGACACCTCTTTTCTTTTGCGGTATACTGTGAAGCCAGTGAGGTGTACCAGAAAGGGCTGTGTTTTTTTCCCCCCCGAACAGAAATAGTACAAATAACAGTCCCAAGTTGCTTTTACCTTTCAACTTTTCCACCCATTCCCCACCTCCTTCAGAACCAAATCTTTTAACAAAAGAATTACATAGATCTGCAGAATAAGAAATAAGATTTACAGAAGCTGGAAGGCCTGGGGCTCAGTAGATGGAACAGATGTTTTGCAGGCAGAGCAGGCCTAGGCAAGATGGTGCCAATAGGCACCCAATCTGCCCCAGAGCACCATCTTTGGTGCCCAGCAGGACCTCTGATCCCTCCAGTATCATACTTATTTCTAAGAATATCTCTGGGTCCATAATGTCTATCTGTACTCTTTTTAAAAAAAGCAAACATAGCCAGGGCTTTATTTGGAAATGTGCTCACCTGCTTGGAAAAAAAGAGAAACTGGGGAAATACATAACAGCTTACTAAAGTCCTTAATTCTGCCTTCATGAAGAAGGTCTAGCCATGAATCCCCCTTCCTTCCTCATGAGCTCACCCATCCTCAGTCCTGCCAAGGGCAAACAGCACACAGGGGTAATGGTGACTCTATTCACATAATACACTTAACTTGGATATTGAACTCATTTATTTTCTGGGTTCATACCATCCATTGAACCATAAAGTAACCCAACAGTTTGAATTTACCTACCACCCCAAGCCACAAAAATCCTAACTGAGGTTGACACTCCCAAAGTTAGTATGTTGTGAACAAAGCTACTAAGTCATTTAAGTAACCTGCTTAAATTCCTTTTGTGAATGGAGCCAGTAACTAGTGAAATAATCAGGAAAATCTTCCTGATGATAAGTTTTGTCCAACAGTGGAACAGTCTACCTATTAATAGGAGTTACAGGTTCTCCATCTCTGTAGGTTTTTAAAAAGAGACTAGACAGCCACTTCTATCTAGTGGTTTAATTGGTTTTCTTGAAGGTGGCAAAGAGTTGGACTAGATGATCCTTCTGGTCCCTTCCAACTTTAAATTCTATGATTTTATGATTGATTAATTGGTTGATAATATGTCATCAAATTGGTGCCAGCTCTTATCAAATACATTCACCTTCATGCTGGTTGTCCTCTTCTTCTCTACTTCCACCTTTCCCAGCATTTTAGACTTCTCAAGAGAGCTAGTCTTTGCATAATGTGCCCAAACTATAATCATTTGAATCTGGTCATTTGTGCCTTGAATGGGAACTCTGAGTTGATTTGTTCTAGGATAATTCTGTGATAACCACCTTTTTTCATGGTGTTCGAAGAGTAACTAAAATGTTCAAGGGACTAGAGGTCAGATTGTAATTAGTAAGTCTTTTTAACTTAGGGGAAGGAAATAATTAAAATAAAACTTGTATAAAAGGTATGTTTAGGATGGTGGAGAATATTTTTTTTATCCTACCCTTTTAACCCAGGATATCTGAGGAAGCAAAAATGAAGGAGATTTAAAAGGGCTAAAAGGAAGCACGTTTTTGCTTACAGTGGGGTAAGAAAAAAAAAGCAGTGATGTTATTACCCTGGACAGCTTTAAAAGGGAAATGAGCAAAAAATTATGCCTTCCATCCGAAAAAGCTACATATTTTGCCAGTATCAGAGTTATGGTTAAGGGGAAAATAAGATGGAGGCTATTATTGTACCCATCCTGCTGTTCAGCTTCCTATAAGGCATTTGGGGAGGGGCACTATTTCAAAAGCATGCCTAACTTAAATGGACTTTTGGTCCGATTCGGCTCTTCATTATGATCTTAACATGTAGTCATTCTTTGACTTCATTCATCAGGTTATGGTTTGTGGACTAAGCCACAGCTGGCTAGGTCCACACAGTATGCTAAACTGGAACAAAATGAACCACATGATAATGAAGCTAATGAATTTGAATAACTTACTCCCTGCCTACTTTTTATTCCATTCACAGTCTGCCTTCGTGGAACAAAGATCCATAAGAAATGCTACCTGGTGTCTGAAGGTGCAAAGCATTTCCATGAAGCAAACGAAGATTGCATAGCCAAAGGTGGGACACTCGCTATTCCCAGAGATGGAGATGAAACAACAGCCTTGAGAGAGTACAGCAAGAAGAGCTTGCCAGGTGTAGCAGATTTTTGGCTTGGTATCACTGACATGGTAAACGAGGGAAAATTTGTTGACGTCAATGGAATGGTCCTCAACTACTTCAACTGGGACCGTTCACAGCCCAATGGAGGGAAGCGTGAGAACTGTGTCTTGTTTTCTCAGTCAGGTCATGGAAAATGGGTGGATGAGGTCTGTCGTACTGTTAAACGATACGTTTGTGAGTTCCTGATCCCTTAGTTCTCTTTTCAATTATGGCTCTTTGAAGAGAAATATGTGCTGTAATGACAGTTTGCAAGACTTGCCAACCTTCAGGAAAACATCTATTAAAATTCTGGGAGTGGAGTTCTTAGCTGCTCAGAAAGCCACTCAGCTACTAGTGGGGGAAACTAGAATGATCAGACATAGTTGTGCTGCAGTTCCTGGAGTTATACTGACATTAGCATGCTGTTTGAACGTGGATTTGATAGGCCATGAGTTGTAGCAGACTTGCTCCTAAAATTCCTTGTCTAGTTAGAATGAGACACATTCAGCTTTGTCTAGTTAAACCAATGAGACATATTCTGCTTCCAGACAGCGGTCTTCTCACTATATTGAATCTTGCTTGACCACACTATCTCTTGGAAAGTGAATTCATATCTTGGTTAAACACGTTGGTTTGATCCACTCACCATCAAACGACCTAATGGAGATCCAGATAGGTTCATTGTCCTTTAAAAGAGAGTATAACTTTTGAAATGTTTCTTACTTTTAAAGCCCAAGTTCAGGATCCTTACTTTCTTGTTATATTTGAACTAGGGAAAGATTGTTAGTGGATCTTCATCTATGGAAATGAATGTTTAAAATTAATGTAGGACAAGGACAAAAAGAAATGAATCTTGTCATAAGGAATAGCATCTTCAGCTTGTGAATAGATAGTAGTAGATATGAATAACCCACCTCTCTGAAATGTAATCTCCCAATATGCTTTACTACTAGCACAAGTGGATCTTTTTCTACAAACTTCATACATGTTAATAAAGTTATTTTTAAAAAGCACTAGACTTCGGCCATATGTCTGTCTGTCTGTCTATTTACTTAAAAGATTGATATGGCCACCCATCTTAAACAACTCTGGGCGTCTCACAATAACAATAAAACCAGCAACAATAGAACAACCATAAAACAATAAAACAGTAAAATGATCAAACAAAATCAAAAACCCTGTACCTTAATCATCGCTTTAGGATGCCTCACAAGAAGTTCCAATTACCCTCATTCCATCCTTTCTATTCTATCCTATCCCAGCGCCTTGGTAAAAAGCCATGTTGTAACTCTGAATTGGTATGGCATGATGCTTAAGTAAATAGTTCTGTGTGAGAGATAAAAATGGAAAAAAAAAAGTTGTGTAAGGCTGTAATTGCATTACTTGGCACTCTTTCATGTCAAGTAAATGCTACTTGAATGCACTGAAATGTGGTTATAATTATAGGTAGTCTATTAAAGATATTGTATTCTAAAGAAGTCAGTCCCACTGAGTTCAATGGGGCTGATTCTTAGTAATCAGGCATAAAATTGCAGCCTTAGTCAAAACTCAGAGTTTGCAGTTAAAAAAAAAATAAAAATCAACCGTTAATTCTGTATCAGTGCTGGGATATTGAAAAGATGCCTCACTGAGGATCTAAAGGCACAGGGAAGATTATACAAAAAATAAGTGGTTCTGCAGATGATTTAGCTTTAAACTGTTCAATTAGCTTGTTAAATCTGTACATGGAAAAATAGAATTATCCATTTGTGGCAATATAGTCATATTTATGTGATTGTACTGTATAACGTAATATTTTCTTTGTGTACCATTATGGAAGTAAACATCACCCTGCAAAAGAATGGGATCTAAATATGAAAGGAAATAAAATTATCCATGCATGAGTGAGAGTACACATACTGTAGTTTGAGAAGACATACAGTATTTCCCCCTAGACAGGAAAAAAAGGGGCTGACTCTTTTAAAAGTTAGCAATGTACCCAACCCTTGTGTTAAAAATCTAAACTATGATCACTGAGTAAGTGTATAATGTCTATATTTTAAACTAATCTAGAATATTGTGTGAATCTGACTGGAATTGTTCCTGATCAGTTAACCCAGATTGACTGTGTCTCTATGCCTGTGTTTGCACAATATGCTTAACTGGCTTAGTTAAAAATCTAGAGCTGTTTTTGCAAAGTCAGCTCAGCTGGGTTGGTTTTAAGCTTGCTTAGTTTCTTGGGCACTTACTGTGTGGTGTAAACTCAGCTGGTAGGGTTAGTTTACAACTCATGGTATGGTGCCAGCCCAGAACGTGGATCAATTCAGTAACTAAGTCAAGGGTAGGGTGTGTTCGTACTTTTCTGTCTCTTCCCATTTCAGAAGATCTAACTGGTAGGTGGCTCTTTAAGCCTCTACAAAGCCGGGTTTTGCAAGCTCAGAGAACCCCAAGGACTCCACAGTTCAACTCTGAGCTACATATATTCTCTCCTATTGGTACTTCCTAGCTTGGCCAGCTAAGTTTCCTATTGGCCCGGTCCTTCCTCAAGGAAGCGAAGAGCAGGGCAAGTGTAGAAGATGCCGCGCCTTGCCGCTTTCCGGACTAGGAGGGACTGGGCAAGGTAAGCCGCCGTCCGCCCTTGCGCCAGGTAGGCTCCGCAGGCGCACCCGGGGGTTAAAACCTGGCCGGCCGGGACAGCCCATGAGCCCGCTGGAGATGGAGGGCGACGGCCTGGAGAAGTCAGAGGGCCGGCCGGCGTCTTCGCGACCCGAGTTCGAGCGCCTGGCAGCGGAGGTCGGGCTGAGTACGCTGCTGGCCCTGGCGCTGTTCGTGGCGGTGAGGCTGAGTTTGGACGCCGCGCACCGCTGGCGAGCGAAGGTCTCGGCGCTCGTGGTGGGCGCCGGCCCGGTGGGACTGACGGCCGCCCTGGTCGCTGTCCGCTCGGGCAAGGTGCTGAAGCTGACGCTGCTGGACGCGCGTCCCCGCGCCGCCCTCCTCTGCCGGCCCCAGCAGATCGCGCTCGACCCCCGCAGCGTCCGATTCCTGCTCAGCCTGGGGGTGGACTTCGACAACCTGGAAGGCTGCTGGGACAAGGAACACTTCTTCACCAAGGTGGGCGTCTTCCAGGAGCACCTACTCAGCGTCCTGGAACAGCACAAGAGGCAACTGGATCTCCAGATCTTGCTGGGCACCAAGGTGAGTGAGAGAGAGGAGTCAGCCCAGGAGGAGATGGGATCACTGTCTCTGAGCAGATGAAGGCCTCCCTCCACCCCATTTGTAAAAGGCAGACCAGAGTAATGGCCAGTCACTGCCGAGATCCTGCTGTTAGAAGGGAAAAGAGGGCTTTGGCGGCCAACGGTTGGGAGTGGGGGTGGAGAGGCAGCAAAGTGGATGAGCATGTATGATATATGCTTGGTTGAGGAGCCTCAGAACAAGAACTCAGTGGCCACAGTTGCCCACTCCTATTTCTGGGGGGCGGGGAGGGAGAGTCATGTCAATGAGATGGGTGGTAACAGATTTGATAAATAAAATAAATAAAATTTTGCCCTGTATAGCTTTTGACTAGCTTTCCTCAACTTGATGCCCTCCCCCAGCAGATCAGTTGACCTTGCTGGTTCAGAGGTTATAAAAAATGTTCCACAATATTTACTGGGATCTGCTATCCCACTTTCACTGTTAGTACTCTCAGCCTAAGCCACCTTTCAGGGAAGGAGACCCAAATGCTTGCTGCATTCGTTTTTGGAAGAAAAGTTGGGATGTACTAATTGGAAAGTATAAAGAAGCTTTAGTATATCTTGGAAAGCTTAAATTCTGTCCTAAGCAAAGTCCTTTTTAAGTACAGAAATAAGCATACATGGCCAATTTCATTATACATTATGTTTATTCTTCCCCAACCCTAAACAAATTCCATGCAGTTTAAAAGATGAAAATAAGCATAAAGTTCACAATTTCCATTTCATGAATTAACTCAGGTGTTAGTTCAAAAGTACATCACCTCTGATATGACAGCTTGCTTGCTTTATCATGCCTAAAATTGATAGGTCCAGGGAGACTTTTATGATTACTTTAGGCAATAATAAACTGGTATTGAGACAATCTATAAACTGGAACAGTTAAGCTAATTCTAATTGTACATATTTAGACAGATAAATGGCTCCATAAATGAAATCAAACAAAGGGCATTTGGCTAAGATTAACACACACACACACACACACACAAGCTTTGTTGGCTTATAATTAAAGCTGACCATAAGAACCAGTAACAAAAAGACTTGTATAGAAAGATGCAAAAGAAAAAGAAAACATTTTAAATTGGCTCTGACTTGAGCTACATTCAGTTGATTTGGGGCAATGGCTTGCAAGAAGGAATTGTTAGAATTGTATGAAATAAGATATGATGCATCCTTGCTGAAACTGGATTAATAATGGAGATATAACAGAACATGGATGGATGGATGGATGGATGGATGGATGGATGGATGGATGGATGGATGGATATTCTTTGCCCACAGCTTTCCTGTGATAGATTGCTGAGATAGGGTGCCAACCTCCAAAATAAACTTCCTGCCACAGATTTTGATAGTGTTTTTTTAAAAGAAAACAGATGTTAACAGTAATGAATAAGAACTGTGCACAGCTTTGATTGAGATATCTGATCGAAAGCAATATGATGAATCTCCTAATTGTATCAACCCTAAAGCCTGATCATTCAGGACTTTTTGGCATCCACAGTAGCTCTTTAAAAATTGAACAGATTTGATGCATGAACTCAGTTTTCTGAATCAGGGCCCCAAAGCAGAACTGATTTGCACATTCATAATATCAGTACATCTTGGCCTATTTGTCTATTAACATGGAACTTTATTAATAATCTGAACATATCTTTAAAATTGGGCAAACCTTTGTAACTTATTTTTAGGGAGAGATTTGCAGAGGCTTTCCCTAAAAATAGTGTTTTTCCTTGATGTCCCAATTTCCTTTCTTCATGTAGAAAGTTTATTTTTACTATTTTAAATGAACAGATTATTAAAAAAAACAAACAAAGGCATATCTCTATTTAGAGGTTGAAATTATAATTCTGGAACTATGTACTTTAGGATACTACTTAAGAGTATAAATCTTGTGAAATAGATATGCATACAAAATCTAGCATAACAGAGAGAAGGAGAAGGAGAAGGAGAAGGAGAAGGAGAAGGAGAAGGAGAAGGAGAAGGAGAAGGAGAAGGAGAAGGAGAAGGAGAAGGAGAAGGAGAGAAGACCACAATAGAGCTGCAGTACTCTTGTAAATCAAATCTCATTGCCTGAACATTTATACTACTCCTTAGCTCTACTACAACAGTTTTCCCTACCACTGTCTGGGAATATATGAGTTATAACCTAATATATGCTTGAGAGCACCAGATTGGGGATGATGTCTGAGACATCTTAATAATCTCAGGTGTATAATGCCAGAAAGGCCATAGTTGTGCCTGAAAACAGAGTACAGAGGTTGTGACCAGAGAGAGGGCAATATTGTCCTGGTTCATGCCCTGTAACAAGCTATGGTTTGTTGAATAACCTATAATTAGCTGGGTTCATGCAACATGCTAGATCAATGCAAACTATATTGTAACTCAATGCAGAGTGTGAACTTGGTCACTGCCTGGCTTCACAGCATCACACTTAACCCTGTTGGGTTTTAATCATGGTGTACTGAATAAGGCACATAAATTGGGTTCATGCATAATGCTAGTTCATAAACCATAGCTAACAAATCCCATGGTTAAGTACATATGTCTAGCAAAACAAAACAAACTATACCAAGGCTTAACATACTGAATGATCCCAGTCACTGTAAATCCAAACTTAAATTGTACCAAAACATCAAATGTCATTCTGTGTTAACTAATAGGAATTCTGGGGAGTCGAAATCCCCAATATATTTGGAAGATGCCATGTTGGAGAAGTCTGATTCTTCCACTTTCTGGTGGAAGGGGTCTGAAAAGGCAGATCTTTTTTTCATTGGCTTGATTTGTTGTTTCTGCTCACATCTTGGCAAGACAAAACCATATTCCCAAACTATATTCCCAGGGATTATAAATGAGAGGTGGGTCAATCTCTGTCTCTCCATCTCTTTCTTAGTTCTCAGATGATTTCCTAAACAAGAATTTAGCCTCTGACTGGCCAAAGATAATTGTCTTAGCTGATGGATCCTGTGGTGAATCAAGTGCAGTGCTCGGAATCAGCCCAGAATACACTGTGGAGTCTTGCAATGCTTATGGAGCTAATGCAATCATTGACAGACCTGATCAACGACAGGTAATCATAAAAAGTTGATATTCTTTGGTCCTTAAGTTTATCTATTCCGTAGGGATGGTATAAATTGGTTCAAGTTTGAAATATTGAATCAGAATCATGGAATTGGGTGCTACCATAGAGGTCATCAACTCCAGTCCTTTGCAGTGCAGTATCCATTAGAACATTTCTGACAAATGACCATCCTGCCTGTTTCAAGTCATTTAGTGGAGGAACGCTCACCACATCAGTGGCAGTTTGTGGCACTGGCTGACAGCTGGTACAACTAGGAATTTCATACAGAGACAGACAGACAGACATATAACTAAAACTTTTAAACAGGAAGATAAACAGTAACACAAACTAATGTAAAGTAAGGACAAAAGAGAAAGAAAGAAATCAAAGAAAAAGCAAAAAGTGCAAGAAAAGAAAAAAGTTGAAGTAAGATAGAAAAGAAAGAAAAAAAGATATAAAGAAGTGGCTTCCAATCTTCTTCACAGCAGTTATAAGTAAAAATATATTTTAACTTCTGTCTCTCAAATTATATCATATTACTCTTCTTCCTAATCTATCCTGTCTAATAATCAAAACCATAAATCACAAGTTCATTTTTTTTCATTTTTACACAAAACATCCATAAGTTAGGAATTTCCTAATGTCTAATCTGAACTTCCTTCCTTGTAGTTCTGCTCCTGCCCTCTGGGGAAATAGCAAATTACCATTGTGTGGTCATTTTGAGTGAAACTGTTTCAGAAAATCAACTTGATTAGGTTCAGTGGTTCATGCTTGAACCCAAGCATCTGAATGGAGCTGATATGAATAGATTCAGAGGCCAAAACTGCATGTGTTTATGTACAAAAGGTGGCCAAATCAGTCTGCATGAAAAAAAGCTTTGTACGCAGAAGATTCTCAACTTCAGTACCTAGTATCAATATTTTAAAAGTCCAGGCAGCAGGTGGTAAGACCCTAGTAATGCACCATTAGCTAAAGTGGGGTCTTTCATTCATTTAATAAATGCTCACTATTCTCTCTGTAAAATGAGAATATAGTAACTTGGACAATAATCGACCATTTGACCCAAAATGCACCCAGCAACCTCCTTAAGTTTTAATGCTATCTTTTTTCTCACAATTATGCCAGCAATGGCATTGTTTGACTTTCTCTACACAGGTTTGTGGGTGCATGCTTTAAAAAAAAAAAAATTCTTCCCCCTTCTCCCATCTATGAACAAATCATCTGTGGTGCACTGAACCAAAAAAAATGTAATTACGTCTTGGGTGTGTATGTTTATTAACTTGGAAAGTCTACGAGATTTGTTCCAAGATTAATATATTTGCTTTCCTTGGGCAATTCCACTCCAATTCTGTTTGGCATACCTATTTATCAACCAGGTAGAGATACAGGACATGAACAGGCCTGAGCTTGTTAACAACTCCATGGGTCCTTGTCTGAACTCCATAAAGGTCCCCTGTTGAAGCAAAGGACTAGGCCTGTTCTGTTTTGTAGGTTTCATGTACTTATCAGCTTAAAAAGAGGTGTGAGATATGATCAAGCCTGTGGGTAAATGGATTCTTGGGTTTTGTTTTGTTTCTGTAACTTTCAGACTGAAAGTGGACAGGTAGGCGACCTAGTCATAGCAGGCTCCATGTGCCTACTTTTCAATGCCTTGAAAATTAAGTATGAACTCCCACTCTGAAGATAATCACTACTGAATTATATGACTTATACTCCTGGGAGTTGATATGCATAGGATTGCCACTCAGATGATAAGAAAAAGATGGCACTGCATGTACAGTGGTACCTTGGGATACGAACGCCTCTACTAACGAACATTTCGGGTTACGACCAGCTTCGGCAGGGCCATGTTACCTCGGGTTACGAACTCGCCTCTACTTACAAACCGGATCCGCGGCTTCCTGTGGGCGAAGTCGCGGTAGCAAGGAGACGTTCGGTGAGGCTTGTGGTGTGTTTTGCGGTGTTTTGCGGTGTTTTGCGG